TACACTTGGAGTCTCATACCAGAGGAAGTTCTTGATGGTCACTCTTTTCAGGGGGCTCACAACGCATCTGAGACACTAAATGCAGACTTTGGTTAAAGGTTTGTTCACTTGTCCAGACGGTTACTGTAAAGGAATTGTTCTCTTTCAGCCTTGTGCCTGGTTTCCTCTGAAGGTCATGATCCCAATGCTCAAGAGCCCACAAGTGACTGCGAGGCAGAGCTGCCTCCTGCTGGAAAGCCTGTCCCAGGGAAGGTCAGAATGTGTGCAGACAACCTGCATTATGTTCACCTCATCAGTTCTGCCCAATCCACAGGGGTGAAAAATGGATGAGATTTGATATCTTCTACACCAGCAACCAAGATGCTCCACAGGGTTGAACTGCAAGAGCTGTTTAATGAGTGAGTGAGCCTCTTCAGAGACACATTCCGGCATGTTCAAAGTAGTGTGAGTAGTTATTCCTGCGGGACGGCACTCGAACAGCATCTTGCCAGTGAGAAGTTCAAAGAGGACAGCACCCAAACTCCACCAATCACAGGCTTCAGTTTCTTCAGTGATTGCTCCAACCTCTGGGGCACAGTACATTTTCTCTAGGGCATTGCTGTCACAGGAATCTTCAACCTCACTCCACCTGCTAAAATACGTTAGCTGAATGTGTCCTCTATCATTCAATAAGATGTTGTTTGGGTTCAAATTGTGGCACACAATTCCCTCTCTGTGTAAAGCTTCAAGGGCTACCACCATTTCAGCTGCCCATCTCTGAATGCAGCCCTCTGGGATGTAAAACCTGGAGTTCAGTGCTAATTTTTTATCAAGGTCCTCAAAAATCTGATGTATCTCCTTGCCTCCTTCTAGTGCTAACCCACTCATTCTTGCAGTCGCAGAGACTCCAAGTGTACAATCAAGTGTTACTTGAAAGGAGCACCTTTACATGGCAGCTAACCATGCTTTATGCCAACCAAGATTGGTTTATATGATCAAATTTATATTGGTTGAATGATATATAAAAAGTGCTTCATGAATAATGTCATCTGTGGAGATTAAAAAGTGAGGAAAAAAGAATATACTCATCATGTCTGATAGGAAACATGTACCACAATGCTATATAATTACTGTATGTTGAATGTGGTCCCAAATTGTTTTATACTTTCAGAAGTCCACATGAGAAGAAAACACTTCATGGTGTCAACTTTGTACTTGGTTGGTTGGTACTGCTTATGGAAGGGTTCATATAAACATTCACTCTGCCTCTGTCTTCAACTCTGTCTATTTCCTATACCCCTAGCCTAGCCTCTCATATTCTTTTCTTTCTACTCTACTAATAAATGTGCAACAAAAAGGGAAGAGGGAGTATTTATGTCCCCAAATTGTATCAACTTAATAAGGACTAATAAATAATGACGTAAAATAAATGTTAAAAAAAAAAAAAAAGATAAGAGATCTTTCTTTTTTACAGCTGCATAGTATTCCATTGTGTACATGTACCACTGCTTTTTTATCCACTCATCTACTGATGGACACTTGGGCTGTTTCCAGATCTTAGCTATTGTAAATAGTGCTGCTATGAACATAGAGGTACATATATTCTTTCTGATTGGTGTTTCAGTCTTCTTAGGGTATATGCCTAGAAGTTGGATCACTGGGTCAAATGAAAGTTCAATTTTTAACTTTTTGAGGTAACACCATAGTGTTTTCTATAGTGGCTGCACCAGTCTGCATTTCCACCAGTGGTGTACTAGAGTCCCCTTTTCTCCCACACCCTCACCAACGCTTGTTTGATGATTTGTTCATGATGGCCATTCTGACAGGTGTGAGGTGATACCTCATTGTTGTTTTAATTTGCATCTCTCTGATAATTAGTGACATTGAGCATTTTTTCATATGTCTCTTAACTATTTGTACGTCCTATATGGAGAAATGTCTATTTATTTCCTCTGCCCATTTTTTAATTGGGTTGTTTGTCTTCCTTTCATTGAGTTGTATGAGTACTCTATATATTTTGGAAATTAACCCCTTATATGATGTATCACTGGCAATGATGCTCTCCCATACAGTGGGTTCCTTTTCCATTTTGATGGTTGTTTCTTTTGTCGTGCAGAAGATTTTGAGTTTGATGTAGTCTCATGTGTTCATTTTTTCCTTTGTTTCTCTTGCCTTATGTATGGTATCAATGAAAATTCTGCTTGAGTATATCTAAAATTTTGTTCCTTACATTTTCTTCTAGAATTTTTATGGATTCATGAGTTACATTTGAGTCTTTTATCCATTTTGAGTTTATTCTTGTGTATGGTGTAAGTGGTGGTCTAACTTTATTTTTTTTCAAGTAGCTGTTTTTTCCAACATCATTTATTGAAGAGACTGTCTTGACTCCACTATAAGCTCTTGCCACCTTTGTCAAATATTAATTTAGCATATTGTCTTGGGTCAGTTTCTGGGTTCTTTGTTCTGTTCTATTGATCTATCTGCCTATTTTTTGTGCCAGTAACAGGCTGTTTTGACTACAGTGCCTTTTTAGTATAACCTGATATCTAGTAATGTGATCCCTCATACTTTGTTCTTATTTTTCAAGATTGCTGTGGCTATTCAGGGTCTTTTCTTTTTTGGTTCGATATAAACTTTTGGAGTATTTGTTCAAGTTCTCTGAAATATGTCATTGGTATTTTGATGGGGATTGCATTGAATCTACAGATTGCTTTGAGTGTATGGACATTTTAATGATGTTAATTCTTCCAATCCATGAGCAAGGTATGTGCTTCCACTTTTTTATATTTTCCTCTATTTCTTTTTTCAATGACCTGTAGTTTCCTGTGAAGAGGTCCTTTACTTCTTTGGTTAAGTTTATTCCTAGGTATCTTAGTTTTTATGCTGTGATGGTAAATGGGGTTGTTTTCTTAGTTTCTCTTTCTGTGAGTTCATCTTTGGTGTATAAGAATGTCATCAGTTTCTTGACGTTAGTTTTGTGTTCTGCTACTTTGCCAGATTCATTTATTAATTCTAGTAGATTTTTGATGGCATTTTTAGGGTTTTCTATGTACAATATTATGTCATCTGCAAATAATGACAGTTTCACTTTCTCCTTTCCAATTTGGATCCCTTTTATTTGTTCTTCATATCTAATTGCTGTGGCTAAGATTTCCAGTACTATGTTAAATAAGAGTGGCAAAAGTGGGCATCCCTGTCTTGTTCTCGTTCTTAAGGGAAATGCTTTTAGTTTTTGCCCATTGAGTATGATGTTGGTTGTAGATTTTTTATATATGTTTTTTTTTTATTTTTATCCTCACCCAAGGAAATTTTTCCATTTTTTGTTCAGATAGAGCGGGAGAGAGAGAGAGGAAGAGAGAGAGAGAGAAACATCGACGTGAAGGGACACATCAAGTGGCTGCCACCCGCATGACCAACCAGGGCCGGGGACAAACTGCAACCAAGGTACGTGCCCTTAGCGGGAACCGAACCCGTGTCTCTCTGTACCGCAGGCCAACGCTCCAACCGCTGAGCCAAACCGGCCAGGGCTATATACGATTTTTATTATGTTGAGATATGATTCCTTTATTCCCACTTTGCTGAGCATTTTTATCAGAAATTGGTGCTGGATTTTGTCAAATGATTTTTCAACATGTATTGATGTGATCATATGGTTTTTATCTTCATTTTGTTTATGTGGTGTATCACATTTATTGATTTGTGAATATTGTATCATCCTTGCATTCCTGTGATGAATCTCAGTTGGTCATGATGAATAATTTTTTTGATTTATTGCTGGATCTGATTTGCTAATATTTTGTTAAAGATTTTGGCATCTGTGTTCATCAGGGATATTGGCCTGTAGTTTTCTTTTTTTGTAGTGTGTTTATCTGGTTTTGGAATTAGGGTTATGCTGGCCTCATAAAATGAGTTGGGAAGTGTTTTATCTTCTTGAATTTTTTGAAATAGTTTGAGGAAAATGGGTATTAGATATTCTTTGAATGTTCAGTAAAAGTCCCCTATAAAGTCACCCGGCCCTGAGCTTTTGTTTGCTGGGAGTTTCTTAATTGAATCTTCAATTTCCTTTGTTGTTATTGGTTTGTTCAAGTTTTCTGTCTCTTCCTGGTTTAGTTTTGAGAGGCTGTATGTTTCTAGAAATGTGTCCATTTTTCCCAGATTGTCCAATTTGTTGGTGTATAATTGTTCATAGTATGTTTCTATGATCCTTTGTATTTCTGTGGTGTTGGTTGTTACTTTACTTTCATTTCTGATTTTGTTTATTTGGTTTCTCTCTTTTTATTTCTTGGTGAGTCTGGCTGAAGGTCCATCAATCTTATTTATCTTTTCCAGGAACCAGCTTTTTATTTCACTGATCTTTTGCATTGTCTATTTTTTTTTCTTTTTGTCTCTATGTTGTTTATTTGTGCTCTGACCTTTATATTTTCTTCCTCCTAATAGCTCTGAGTTTTTCTTTTTGTTTACTTTTTAGTTCTTTAAGTTGTAGGGTTAGAAAATCAATTTTTCAAACAAGGAATTTTTCTTGTTTCTTGAGGTAGGCCTGTAGTGCTATGAATTTCCCTCTCAGGACTGCTTTTGCTGTGTCCCATAGATTTTGTGTTGTTGTATGTTCATTTTCATTGGTTTCCAGGAGTTTTTTAATTTCTTCCTTGATCTTGTTAGTAACCCATTCTTTGTTTAATAACATGCTATTTAGCCTCCAAGTGTTTGAATGTTTTTGTGTGTTTTTATTTTTATTGAGTTCAAGTTTCAAACCACTGTGATCTGAGAAGATGCTTGAAATATTTCAATCTTCTTGAATTTGTAGAGACTTGCTTTGTGTCCTAACATGTTTGTCTGTCTTTGAGAATGTTTCATGTGCACTTGAGAAGAATGTATATTCTACAGCTTTGGGATGAAATTTTCTGTAAATATCAATGAAGTCCCACTGATCTAGTTTATCTTGTAACGTCCTTGTTAATTTTTTGTCTAGAAGATTTATCCAGTGGTGTCAGTAGTGTGTTAAAGTCACCCACTATGATGGTAAAAATATGGAATGCTTCAGGAATTTGTGTGTCATCCCTGTGCAGGGGCCATGCTAATCTCTGTGTTGTTCCAATGTTAGTATATGTGCTGCTGAAGCAAGCACTACTCTATCTTTTAATTGGAGTATTTAATCCAGTTTCATTTCAGGTTATTATTGATATTTATTTATTTATTGCCATCTTTATTTATTAGGGCTATCTTTCTCTATTTATTCTGCTTATTAGAGCAGTCTTTTTTAACATTTCTTGCAATGCTGGTTTCGTGCTAATATATTCCCTTAGCCTTTTTAAAAATTTTGTCTGGGAAGCTCTTTATTTTACCTTCTTTTCTGAATTAAAGTCTTGTTAGTTAGAGTAGTCTTGGATTCAGATCTTTGTTTTTCATTACCCTGAATACTACATGCCATTTCCTTCTGGCCTATAGTGTTTCTGATGAGAAATCAGCTTATAGCCTTATGGGGGCTCCATTATAGGTAACCTGTTGCTCTTCTCTTGCCGACTTTAAAATTCTCTCTTTGTCTTTAATTTTTGGCATTTTAATTATAATGTGTCTTGATGTGGGCCTTTTTAGGTTCTTCTTACTTGGGGCTCTCTGTGCTTCCTGAACTTGTATGTCTTTTTCTTTCTTTCTTTTTTTCTTAATCCTCACTTGAGGACATTTTTCCATTTTTTGTTCGTATAGAGTGTGAGGGAGAGGGAGGAAGAGAGAAACGTCGACGTGAAAGGGACACATGGAGTGGCTGTCACCTGTGTGACCCAACCAGGGCTGGGGACAAACTGCAACTGAGGTACGTGCCCTTAGTGGAAACTGAACCCGGGTCTCTCTCGACCACAGGTTGATGCTCTAACTGCTGAGCCAAACTGGCCAGGGTGTATGCCTTTTTCCTTCACCATGTTAGGGAACTTTTCTGCCACTCCTTCTTCATAGAGATTCTCTAATCCTTGCTCACTTTCTTCTTTTTCTGGTACTCCTATACAACGGATGTTTTTACATTTCACGTTGTCCCACAGCTCTCTTAAACTGTCCTCCTGTTTTTAATTGATTTTCTTTTTTGGTGCTATGATTGAGTGATTTTTTTTTTTTTTTTTTCCCTGTCTTCTACTTTTCTGATCTGATCTCAGCTTCCTTTAATCTACTGGTTATTCCAGTAGATGTGTTCTTTATTTTTGGTATGTCATTCTTCATTCCTGTTTGGTGGTTTTTTTATTCCTAATTGGTCTATTTTCATTTTTTCTATATCCTTTCTCATGCTGTTGAGCTTCTGCATAATCATTACTCTCAACTCTACATCTGTTAACCTGCTTATTTAGCTCTTTTTCTGTAGAATTATCTTGTTCTTTCATTTGGGATTTGTTTTTCTTGTTTCACTATTTTGACTGTCTCAGCAGGGTTTGGAACCTGCCAAATTTTTCCTGTGAGTGTTGATGTTCTGCTGGTTGTGGCTCCCTCTGCTTTGTTTGGATGAGTATAGAAGGGACCATGCTGAACACTTACTTTCCTGGGTAGAGTTTCAAGGCCAAGCAAAGATTCAATTATCCCAAAGCTTTTGCCTGCAGGCTGACTATTAGTCTGTTATTAAAGAGCCTCAGGTTGTAGCCCTCAGCTGAATAAAAAATCATACAGGTGGGCAGGGTATGAGGATTACCAGTGGGCGGAACAATTGCTTTTCCCTGGGCTAAATTGCTTTGAGAAGAAAATTATTTTTGCTGTGTAGCTTTTTGGATTAGCAGAGAAACCCAGGCTTCTGCCTTCACAGCTCAGTCCCCAGAGCCACATCACCCAACCCTGAGAGCCAGGTACAAAGCTCAAAGACTTTAGAATCCTGTCTCTGCCTATTAGCCTGCAGTTTGTCTCTGGCTGTTAATGAGCCTCAGGTTGCACTTCTCTGGGATGGGTGGTGTTAAATACCTGATGGAGGGGCAGTTGCTTCTCCCCCAGGCTAAAGCCACTCTAATGGAAAGGGGCGTCTTGACGAACATGGCTACTGGCGTGTGGGTGAATGATTCAGCATAGAGCTCCTGATGGCCTCCTTCCCAGCTCTCTCTCCAGTCCTACAAACCCCCGACTCTCCTCACAGCTCTAGTTCAGACCACCCTCCCTCTGCTGGAGCCAAAGTTGAGTAGCTGTAGCAGTAATAGAGTGCACTGGCCCTTCAGAAAAATGCTGGTACTCCTAGCACCTCTCCCTGCCAGACAGAACCTCTGCTGTGGTGATTTTCTCATCCAGGTGTTATGTGGATATCTTTTCTTATTCTGCCACTCTGTGCTCGGGAGCCAGCTTGGGGTTTCAATCCTGACTTCTCAGAGGGAGCATCTCACAGCTAAGATAGCCCTCAGCTGCTATCTGTGGGAGCCCACCAGCCCTCTTGCACCTCCATACCTCCTACCAGTCTTGATTTGGGGTCCTCTTCAGGTCCCTGGTCATAGGGTTCTCTCTAGCTGCTTTTCAGTTGTTTTTTCCAGACATATCTTTATTTTGTTGTAATTCCAGATTGGTCCTGGGAGATAGTCTGTGTAGCTTCCATTCACTCTCCTGCCATTTTCCCTCTTGTGACAGATAACTTTTTATTTTCTTAAAAATAAGATGTGGCCTGGCTGGTGTGGCTCAGTGGTTGAGCATCGACCCAAGCACAAAGAGGTTGCTGGTTTGATTCCTGGTCAGGGCATATGCCCAGGTTGTGGGCCAAATCCCCAGTGGGGGGTGGCCAGTTGATGTTCTCTCTCATTAATATTTCTCTCTCTCTCTCTCTCTCTCTCTCTCTTCCTTATTCTCTCTCTAAAAACCATTAAAGAAAAAGAAATTTAAAAATAAGTTGTGTGAGACTTGTATGGAGGGAAACATGCAGCATGTAGACATTAGTTCAATCATCATGGGTTGTGCTGAAGAGAGTGCATTTTTGCAGTCTGCAGGGGCAGCAACTGTTTTTCTCTCCCCTTTTTTTACAGTTTAATCACCTGGATACTTGCTCAGGATAATGGCTCTGTAATAATTTTTAAATACTCAAATATTAGAGAGGAGGAGAGGACCAAAAGAATGAAAGCCATTACAAATTGCAAATATTGGAATAAGCTCAATAAAAAACAATGCCTTATGCATCGATTCATCCAAACTTAGCTAACTGTGTTTTTAAAACAGATTAATTGACCATTTCATTCAAGGGTTGACCCAATATGTGACCTCATTATTACACAGACTTCACTTGGCTAGACAAAATATGCTGGTCAATTAGGCCTCTAAAATTTGAATTAATTTTTTATTTGGGCCAGAGTGAAGGATATCTCAAACATTCTAATTCATGGTATGTGAATTAGCCAAAGTATAAGTTATCTTTTAAACTAGTGGAATCCAACATGTCAGAATCATCTAGCCTGTTGATGAGTCCTTCCACCTGTCACAATATTCCTCAATACCCCTACCCTGCTCTATTTTGTGTTTTTGTAACACTAATCACCTTTACCATACTTACTAATAATTTACACATTTATGATATTAAAAACATTTTTTTAATCCTCAGCTGAGGATATTTTTCTATTGATGTTTAGATAGAGTAGGAGGAAGGGATAGAGAGAGGGGGAGAGGGAGAGAGATTGATGTGAGAGAGACACATCAATTGATTTCCTTCTGCAAAACACCAACTGGGACCAGGGATTGAAACTGCAAGTGAGGTACATGCTCTTGACCAAGAAATAAACCCAAGGGACTCTTTGGTTCAAGGGCTGACACTCCAGGGCAGAGCCAAACTGGCCAGGGCCATATTTATCATATTTATTATTATTATTCCTTACTAGAAAGTATTTATATATTTTGTACACGTTTGTGACCTTAGTGTCTACAACAGTACAACTGTGCTTAGAAATATGCAAAGTTAATACACATTTTAAAGAAAGAAGAAAAATAAACTTCTGGTTTTGCAAGATGGCAAACAAAAACTAAAACACAAACCCTTTCCTTTAAATGCTTACAAATGTTGGATAAATATATAGAAAACCTTCCTATGACTGTGCACACAAAATAAAGGGAATCCCCATAAAACTCACATAACAAATGAATCAGCAGTGGCTGTGGGTGGGAGAATCAAATCTCTCTTTATGGAACCATCTCAGACTAAGTTGCATTAATTATGACAGCAGAACTATAACCCTATTTACTAATTACAGGGGTGATCTGATAACCAATGCTGTTTCTCTCTCTCCCACGCCCTTTCCTTCTCATTTTTTACTTCTTCCTCCTTATTCCTTTCTTATTTTTGTCTTTTAAATATTTACTGAGTGCCTACCCCAGATATTTACAACCTAGTATCTTGGGGGGGGGATTATATATCTACATCTATATCTAATCTATATCATGAGAGAGAGAGAGAGAGAGAGAGAGAGAGAGAGAGAGAGAGAGAGAGAATGAATAGATGTGTATGTATATTTCCTGGAAGAAAGACTTTTACCTTAATCGTCCTTCTTCCAATAAATAAATAAATAAATAAATAAATAAATAAATAAACAAATGCTACTAGATGAACAGAAATAATGTTGAACATGTAACATTTTGTTGATGTGTTTTTTCAAATACTATAGGTTTCTATTGTGCCCACCACTTTACATCTCCAAGTAGTAAATAAGGTCTGGGTGGTTGATGTTCATGTACCCCAAATTAACTCATGTATTCTTTTTTAAAAAATTATTTTCTTTATTGATTTTCAAACAAAGAGGAAGGGAAAGGGAGAGAGAGATAGAAACATCGATGAGAGAGAACATCAATTGGCTGCCTCCTGCATGTCCCTTACTGGGGATGGGGCCCACAACCTGGGCATGTGCCCTGACCAGGAGTTGAACCACATTGGCCGGGCAATTTATGCATTCTTCTTAGCAACTTCTGGTGTGAGTAAAGATGTGCTATTGAGCACCCAATACTGAGTGCTGTGCTGCATATTAGAATACAGATGTATATGATCATTTCTATGCAAGCTCTTTGAGTCTCAGAGGGGACTCTGAGACTCAAAATAAAGCAGCATGATGGAAGCACAGAGAAGGGAGCTCCTACCTTTTACTTAGGAGCTTTCACTGGTCCCACACATAACCTAGAGGACAAGATTAGGTGCCATGAGTGGCC